GAGCACGAGGAGGAAGGGGAGGAGGAGGGCGAGGAGAGGAGAGGGCAAAGGGTGTCCGGGGGAAGCCTGCCCGTCCTCCCTGGGCGGGTCGACGGTCGGGGGCCTTCCTGGAGGCCCCCCGCCCGTTAGGCAGGGGACCACGCCCTCGCGCCGGATGCCCCACGCCCTCGGGGCGTGCGGCCGGCAGCGCCTGGGAGGCGCCGCCAGGGCCCCCCCCGCGGTGCCTCGGGCGCTGGAGCGTGGAATATCCCGTCGTCGTCGGCGTCGTCGTCGGTGTCGTCGTCGGTGGCGTCGTCGTCGTCGTCGACGTCGTCGTCGTCGTCGTCGTCGTCGTCGGTGTCGTCGGTGTCGTCGTCGTCGTCGTTGTCGTTCAGGGTCGGCGGCACCGACCGTAAGGCCTCTCCAACAGTCAACCAGTCTGGTAAGGATGCGCGGTAAGGATGCAAGGGCCTTGGAAGGCCACGTCGACACTCTGCTAGCGGGGCGCGGCTGGAGAGAGCGGCCAAGGATGTGCCGAAGGGGAAGGATGCCAGGGCAACCTTGGGAATGACTCATCCTTACTATGCGGATTGACTGTACAATCTTGAGAAATCGGCCTCCTGAGTCCCCAACAATGCCATTGCTGCCATCGTGGTCCGCGGACCTCCCCCTGAGGGGGGGGTCCAGCGCCGACCCGAGGAATCCGCAAGGACCTTCGAAGGTTTATGCTTACACGTCGGTCAGAAGAGGTAGGTAAAAATATGAAGTAGGAAGGCGGATCAAGTGGATTGTGTTCAGGGCCTCCCCAAGACTGACATAACAAAACAAAAGCAAATCAATTCTTGAAGTAGGAACGCGCTTGAGGTGGAGTGGGGCCTGGGAATCCAAAACAAGATCCGCCGTCATCCCGCTGGGCACGGAGTGGGCGCGTCATCAGGTCCTGGGCGCTATCCCCTGAGCTTCAGTCCTCAGTCCTGAGGACTTGATGGGGCCCGGAGCCAAAGTTGCCAAATCTCTCGGGGCTTGTCGCGTGCCCCCTGGCGTCACTGGCGTCTTGTCGCATTCATGTTTCTGGCCCCAGAGGGCCCCAAGAGGGACCAGAGGGCCCCAAGGGAGGCCCCGAGACGCCCAAAGATCGGCCCGAGACGCCCAAGATGGCCCCCAGGCGGCTCACCAAGAGGCCTCCCAAGAGGGCCTCAAGAGGCCAACATGAGTGGTTTTCCGTCGGTTTGGGGGATTGGGGCGTTCTCGCCTTTTCGGCGTCCCGACGCTCCAAGACGGCCCTGGAGGCCCCCAAGACCGCCCCAAGGCGAAGAGGCCTCCAAGAGGCCCCAAGACGGCCTCAAGACGGCCCCAGAGGCCCCGAAGAGGCATCCAAGACGCCCAAGATGGCCTCTAAGACGGCCCTGGAGCACCCCAAGAGGGCCCCAAGTCGGACCAAAGAGGCCCCCCAAGACGGCTTCCGACGGCGTCAGACGGGCCAGGAATGCCCCAAGACGACCAAAGAGGCTCCCGAGAAGCCTCTAAGGCCCGCGAGAGGCACAAGGAGGCCCCAAGATGCCTCCAAGAGGCTCCCAGGAAGCTCCCAGGAAGTTCCCAGGAAGCTCCCAGGAGGCCCGAAGAGTGCCCCCAGAGGCTCCCAAAATACCTCTCCTACTGCAGCTTCGTCTGGGACCAGAGGGTGTCACTGGGAAGACTACAAAGGGGCTGTATAGCCCTACAAGAAAAGTTGAAGAACAAGAAGTCTTGGGATGGAGTTCGAGGGCCTATGGAAGTACTTGCGCTCACGCTTGCACGTATAGGATGGAGCATGAGCTCCAGCACGACCATTGTGGATGACCAGGGCTACTCATACGACATTCTGCGCCTGCCGCCCAAGACTGTCACCGAGTTTGCGCGTCAAGGTGTGGAGCGCTGGCAGGCCAGACAGATCCTTGCCCATCATCAAGACATTTGCTATGGACACGAGTGCATTTGGATTCGTGCGCTTCGCATGTGTATTGGTGGGCCCAAGGCTGCCATAAGAAGTGCCAGGTTTTCGGGAGCCCTCAGGACGCGTTGGTCAGGAGGCTTCTGGACTCGAGACAGGCAACACCAGGCAGGATGCAACATTTCGGCGCAATGTCCCTGGTGGCCTGCTGAACGGTCATGTCTTGGTCACTGTATATATGATTGCAATGGATTATATGAAGACTGTCATGATGATGATTTGATGTGGAATACCAAGCTGACTACATGTTATGAGTACCTCAGGGATCGCGGTGTACATGATCTCGGACCTCCTGATTGGGACAGGCTTGACTGTACCATGTGTATGCCTATGTACCCTGTGGTGTCTCCTAAGATCTCCTACGGGTTCGAGGTCCACTACTGAGGCGACTGCGAGTCTGATCAGCACAGTTGGACCTCAGTGGTCTACACGGACGAGTCGGCGCTCGCTCGCTCGCTCCTGGACTTCCTGGGATCACCAGATGTGGATGGGGATTTGCATGTTTGGGAGATAATGGGCTTCCTGTCAGAGGTGCGTATGGGCCCCCTAGAGGGGCCATGGCAGACGGTAGGACGGACAGAAAGAGCTGCCCTCTTCTTTGCTTTGAAGCTGATGCGCGATGTCGGGCTTGTCGTATCAGACCTGTCCAGCCTCGTCAGAGAAGGCACGGACTGGAGCGTTGCCCAGCAGGAAGCGGACGCCTCGTACGCCGACCTGTGGAGGCAAATTGGTTCGATTATGAGTAGTATGAATAAGATTCCTCCCAAGTTTTACTGGTATCCTGCTGACAAGACGGCGCAGCAGTTTATCGAGCAGGACCAGCCCCTTTGGGAGTACTTTCTCGGCAACGCATGGGCCGACAGATTTGCTAAATGGGGTGCGTGTTGCCATGATCCGTCGGAGACGTTGGAGTTGTCACTCGAGTCTGCCAGTTGTGATGCTAAGATGCAGGCCAGGATGATGTCTTGGAGTGTATGCAAGATGGCGTATCGGGACTCCCTCACTGAGCGGCCAAGTAGATTAGTGAGAGCCCCTGCCCCTGTCAGGTCCATAGGGCTCACGGCCCACGAAATGGTTGTCCGTGAGCCTGCGGTGTTCCAATGCAAGTCCTGTCTGGGAGTAGCTAGGACCAAAGCGAGTCTTAGCAGGATCCTCGGGTCCTCCTGTGAGCCCACGGCCCAGCAGAGGCTGAGAGCTATAATGACACCCGAGCTGCAGCGCGCGCCACCGATGCAGTTGGAGGCTGTGCGTGTGGCCCTTGAGGCTTCTAGTAGGGATGAATCTGCAAGTTCCTTCGATGCGAATCCGTCAGTGCCGCCTGCTGAAGCTATCGTCGAGCTCAATGGGCACCAGTTGTTGGTGACCCATAGGTGCATGGTCTGCGCCTCATGCGGCTCCTATCAAGTGTCCACGGCGAAGGTCGCGAATTGTAGACTTAGCTCGGCGGCCTGCGTGGGCCCATCTCAGCACGGGCCCACCGATCCAGGCAGAAGTGTAACATCTCAGCAATCAGGGCTGGGAAGGACCCTAAAACGGGTAGGGTCGTGACCTAGTTTTCTCATGGCTGGCTCCTGTCAGTCAATTGCACGACTGGTCGGCCGTGTCTCCTCCACCTCCTCCTCCTCCTCCTCCTCATCCGCCTCCCCCTCCTCCCGCGATTGTCGTGTTCGCCGTCGTCCTCCTCATGCGGAGGAGCGAGGAGGATAACCAGGAAGATGCTTGTAAACGTTGGGGGGGCGCGTGTCCATACGTATCCTCTGTGCGCGTTCGGGGAGCTCGCCTATATTCCATGTGATCACGCTGCTGCTGCAAGTTCTTGCGCAACGCTTCCCTTTTCACGCCCTTCCCGTTCATGTCAGGAAAGGTTCCCACAATGAGCGTTTCGCTCGAGACATCCTCACAACATCGTGAAGTTTGGGGGTCGTATGTTAAGACGTAGTTTGTTAAACATGGGCGGTTCGCTCGAGACATCCCCAACAAAATTGAGATATTGAAATCGCTCGCCTAATGTTCGGATCCTCGAAAATGGGCGTTTCGCCCGAGACATCCTCGGAAAAAGGGATGCCGGCACAGCTCTTGTAAGGCATCTTTCCAGAGCGATCTCGGATGGCCCCCCAAGATTGCCCAAGAAGCGAAATGATTAAAACAAAACAAAAAAAACATGTGTTTTAAAAATTGTCGTTGACAAATCAGCGTTTCACTCGAGACATCCCTCACAAATTGCATTCGAACGGGCCCTCGAAGCCATCTGGTCTCCCCCTCCTCCTCCTCCTCCTCCTCCTCCTCCTCCTCCTCCTCCTCCTCCTCCTCCTCCTCCTCCTCCTCCTCCTCCTCCTCCTCCTCCTCCTCCTCCTCCTCCCCCTCTTCCTCCTCCTCCTCCTCCTCCTCCTCCTCCTCCTCCTCCCTCCTCCTCCTCCTCCTCCTCGTCCTCCCTCCTTCTCCTTCTCCTTCTCCTTCTCCTTCTCCTCCTCCTCCTCCTCCTCTTTCTCCTCTTCATCCTCCTGTTCTTGCGTATCCTCCTCCTCCTCCTCCTCCTCCTCCTCCTCCTCCTCCTCCTCCTCCTCCTCCCCCTCTCGTTCTTCCTCCTTGGCGTTCCTCCCCCTCCGCCTCGTCATCCTCCTCCTCCTGCTCCTGTTCCTCCTCTTCCTCGTCTTCCTCACCGTCACTTCCTCACCCTCTGTTCCTGCTCTTGTTGCTGCTGCTGCTGCTGCTGCTGGTCCTCCTCCTCCTCCTCCCCATCCCCCCCCCTCCTCCTCCCCCTCCTCCCACGATTGTCGGGTTCGCCGTCGCCCTCCTCATGCGGAGGAGTGAGGAGGATAAGCAGGAAGATGCTTGTAAACGTTCGGGGGGCGCGTGTCCATACGTATCCTTTGTGAGCGTTCGGAGAGCTCGCCTATATCACATGTGATCACGATGATGCTGCGAATTCTTGCGCAACGCTTCCCTTCCACGAGCTTCCCGTTCATGTCAGGAAAGGCTGCTAAAAATGGGCGGCTCGCTTGAGACATCCTCCAAAAAATGGAGATCTGTTTTTGTTCCGCGCATCGGCACGGGCTCGTCTGCGGCGGCGGCCAGCGCCGTCGGAACGGCGGGCGAGTGGCCTCCCACCGCGTGTTGTACGTCGCCGACTACGCCCGCCGCAGCGCGCTCCTCTCCTGCTTCTGCCAGGCTTTCGACTCCGCCAGGCGCGTGCTGCCTGCTCGGGAGGACAGCCGCCTGCGGCTGCTCGGCGAGAGGTTCTCGTACCCGGCCTGCTCGCACTCCCTCTGCTCGAGCAGGCGGACCTCGTAGTGCTTCAGGGCCAGGGAGAAGGCCCCCCTGCTGGTGGCCACGGACACGAGCGATGCGCTGCCGAAGACCATCCAGTAGGAGCCGAACACCATCCCCGCGTGCGTGCTGGGCGTGAAGGCGCCGAAGCCGACGGTCGAGAGCGTGATGAGGGCCATGTAGACGCCCTGAGCGGGGGTCTTCTCCTCCCCGGGGTAGTACACGAAGAACGCCGCTCCCACGGCAACGAAGCAGCAGAAGGCGAGGGACGAGTAGATCACCGGCAGAAAGGCCGCCTTCAGCTTGTGCTCCTCAGTTACAGAATCGTCGTGGTCAACGTCTGATTCGTCGTCTAAGCCGAGCCGCCTCTCAATTATGGTCTGGAAGAATTCAAACAGCTCCTGAATCGTGTGGGCGATCAGGAGGACGGACATCACCACGAAGAGCCCCATGCAGAGCTGACCCCTCGGCCTAGCTGGGGTGATGTCGCCATAGCCGATAGTCGTAAGGATCTGTGCGAAAAGATAAACCGCCTCCTCCGTGGACAACGAGCGCGGTTCGCTGAAGTGCGGAGATTGAAATATCAGGACCTCTGTGAAGAGGAAGAGGCCGCCCAGCAGCCAAGAGTACAGAAGGATGCTCTCGAAGACTTGCGTCCTCGTGACGTACTTGTACGACGACGCCAGGGCCGCGGGTAGAGAGCCGATGAGCACCACGAAGGAGACGGCCCCGAGGAATGTCCACGGGCCGCCGCCTTTTTTGGAGCGCCACTTGCTGCTCTTGCTACTGCCACCCTCGTCGCCCTCTAAGTTCCAGCGCTTCTCAGGCTGCGGTTCATGGACTTGAACGTCTGGTTCCGCAGTGACCCCGTCCCGACGGCTCGGGTTGCCGAGGATATCGGGGATGTAGAGCCCAGGCCTTCCACGGAGACCGCGCACCTCGAGACCCGCCGCGGGCCGCAGGGCGCACGACGCGCACAGCACCGCCCACGCAGGCCCCGTGGCGTGCCTGCGATTCCGAACGGACTTCATTCCAAGTGAGAAGAGCAGGGACCATGCGTGGCACGCAGTGGCCCCCGCATGCACCTTACGTGAGCATGCAGGTAAGAATGCTTGAGCCAAAATGGCTACGGACCAAAAAATGGAGATCTTGAAATCGCTCGCCTAATTTTCGGATCCTCGAAAATGGGCGCTTCGCCCGAGACATCCTCGAACCAATGGGATGCCGACACAGCTCTTGTAAGGCATCTTTTCAGAGCGATCTCGGATGACCCCCAAGATGGCCCCAGAAGCGGCAATCTTGAAAAACCCACGTGGTTTCAACACTTTCATTGAAAAAGCAGCGTTTCACTCGAGACATCCCTTGCAACATGCCTTCGAACGGGCCCGCGAAGCCAGCTGGTCTCCTCCCCCTTCTCCTCCTCCTCCTCCCCCTCCTCCTCCTCCTCCTCCTCCTCCTCCTCATCCTGCTCCTGTCCTCCTCCTCCTCCTCCTCCTCCTCCTCCTCCTCCTCCTCCTCCTCCTGCTCCTCTCCTGCTCCTTTCCTTCTCTGTCTCCCTTATCCTTCTCGTGTTCCTCCTCCTCCTCCTCCTCCTCCTCCTCCTCCTCCTCTTCTCCTCCTGTTTTTGTTTGTGCAACCTACTCCTCCTCCACCTCCTCCTCCTTTTCTCCTCCCTCCTCCTCCTCCTCCCCTCCTCTCGTTGCTCCCCCTTCTCTTTCCTCGTCCTCCGCCTCATCTTCCTCCTCCGTTTTGCTCCTGTTCCTCCTCTTCCCTCCTCCTCCTCCCCGTCCCCTCCTCGCCCTCTGTTCCTGCTCGTGCTGCTGCTGCTGGTCCTCCTCCTCATACTCCCCCTCCTCCTCCTCCGCCTCCTCCTCCTCCTCCTCCTCCTCCTCCTCCTCCTCCTCCTCCTCCCCCTCCTCCTCCTCCTCCTCCTCCTCCTCCTCCTCTCCCCTCCTCCTCCTCCTCCTCCTCCTCCTCCTCCTCCTCCTCTCCTCCTCTCCTCGTCCTCCGCCTCCTCCTCTTCCTCCTCCTCTTCCTCCTCCTCCTCCTCCTCCTCCTCCTCCTCCTCCTCCTCCTCCTCCTCCTCCTCCTCATCCTCCTCCCCCCTCCTCCCGCGATTGTCGTCGTTTTCGCCGTCGTCCTCCTCATGTGGAGGATAAGCAGCAAGATGCTTGCAAACGTTGGGGGGGGGGCGCGTGTCCATACGTATCCTCTGTGCGCGTTCGGAAAGCTCGCCTATATTAGATTTGATCACGATGATGATGCTGCAAGTTTTTGCGCAACTCTTCCTTTTTTCACGCGCTTCCCGCGAATGTCAGAAACAAATCACAACATGAGCGCTTCGCTCGAAACATCATCACAACATCGTGAAGTTGGGGGGTCGCGTCTTGAAACGTAGTGAACTAAAAATGGGCGCCTCGCTTGAAACATCCCCCAAACATGGAAATATTGATATCGCTCGCCTAATTTTCGGATCTTCGAAAATGAGCGTTTCGCCAGAGACATCCTCGAACCAATGGGATGCCGACGCAGCACTTGTCAGGCACCTGTTCGGAGCGATCTCGGATGACCCCCAAAATGGCCCAAGAAGGGAAAATATCGAAAACAAATGTGTTTAAACATTTCCGTTGACAAATCAGCGACTCACTCGAGACATCCCTGCCTTCGAACGGGCCCGGTGTTGCTGCTGGTGTTCCCTCGGGTTCCTCTGAGCGCCCTCTCGGGGCTTGTTTGGAAGGTCTTGGTGTCCTCTTGTCTCTTTGGGAGGCCGACGCCTCTCGGAGGGCCTCTGGGTGGCTTCTTGGGGCACTTTCGGGGGGCCTCTCGGGGGCTCTGGAAGGCCTCCTGGGGCCATATTGGAAAGCATCGATCATCAAAGGAGGGGGGTCTCCGATGTCGGCCCCCGCCCATCAGGAGCCCTCAAAATCGCCTCTTGGAATTATCTTAAGATCCGCTGCCAACGAACATTGCATGGCGGTTTGGCACAGCCAAACCGCCGTGAAACATCAGTTTGTTCATCCGTTGACAGCAGCACGCGTCGCGGCAGCAAAATGCAGTAGCGCGCGCGGGCACGCAGGGCCGGCGATGTGGCTGGCCAGCTGCCAGCGCGACTTCGGCAGAAGAGCCGAAACCCACGTAGGATCGTTCTGGGCGTGGTATCCAGCGCAACTGCATCGCACTGCCAGGCGCCGCGGCCTTGCGATTGTAGCGCCAGGCCCCGCGCGCTCCGCGAGACGGGAAGGCAAGCTCTACACAAAGGAATCACGCGTGCTCTTGTGAGGGCGGCGAAAACGATCGTACACAAAGGAAATTCCTGTGCGTGCCCCCCGCGTCGGCAGTGTAACCAGACTGCACACAAAGTAATTACACCAGACTTCGTGGTACACACAAGAATTGCAGCAACACCGTTTGGGTTGTGCTCTTCGCGCGCGGTGACAGCTCCGAGATGGAAAGGTAGGCGGGGCGGCACAAGGCAAAGCAGGGGAAGAGGAAAAAGAAGAGGAGGGCGAGAAAAAACGAAGGAAGCAACGGAAGGAAGCCAGGATGCGCGCAAGCGAAGCTAACACTGCGCGCCGAGACAGTTGTTCGTTCGTTCGGTTGGCCGCGCGGCAGATGAATAGGAAAAGAATTGTTCGTTGCCTATCCAAGGGACTCCTTGGGAATGGGACTCGCGCTCTCTTCCCAGACCCCTTTTTCCCACATCCCGTTGCGAGCGCGCGACGATTTGTTCTGGCCCGCGGGCGCAGGACTGCCAATTGCTGGCGAGCGGCTTTTCCACCCGTCGCGCGTTCCGAACACATGCGACCAGCTGAACGCACTTGCCACGCAAACCGCCAGCTCCAAACACCGACGCCACCCTGATCCCCGCATCCGTGCCAGGCACCCTCTCAACGACGCCCCCTTCCGGCGTAAAACCAATCAGAGGCAGCAGCGTGGGACGGGGATTCCCCGCTGCAGTGTCCCGGCGGAAAACCGCGGGTCACGCCCGGAGGCCGCGAGAAGGACATCCACCTCCACGCCCTTATCCTCCTTGACGTCCACCACCTCATCCTCCTCCGTCCTCCGTAACAAGCACCTGCTCGTGCACCTTTTTCAAGCAACACCAGCCCGGCATCTCCCTCCCCATTGTCCTCTTCCTCCGCCTGGCCATCCTGGTCCTCCTCCTCCTCCTCCTCCTCCCCCTCCTCCTGTTCGTCCTCCTCCTCGTCGTCCTGCTGCTGCTCCTCTTCCCTTACCTCCTCCTCGTCCTCCTCCCCCTCCTCCTCCACCTGCCCCTGCACCAGATCACGAATAAGACGCGGCAAACCGCATGAATAAAACGGCGCCGATGCACCTACTTCCGGGGGCAGATTGCGCGCGGGTGAACGCGCAATCGATCCCCGTGGCATCGCCCCCCCCCAACTTCAAAGTAGGCGGTGCAACGGACCACTTCTGTCAAAGCCTCCCCCCTCGGGGGCGGTTAACCCACCCATCCCGCTGACAGACCGTGGAGGCCTTGGATACGGAATCCAGGGTCTGGAGCCTTGTGAAGATCCACTTGCGTGGAACGGGGGGGGGGCAGAAATTGTCCGCCCCCAATCATTGTGAGCTCTCTACTCCCTCCGTCTCCCCTCCCTCCTCCCCTGTTTCCTCCTCCCTCCCGCCTCCCTCCTCCCTCCCCCTTCCCTCACACCTCCCCCCCGCCCTTCCTCCGCCTCAGATCCCCTGGAGGAGGACGGCAGGTGAGCGGTGCAGTTGCGGTTGCGCCCGCGGGCGGGTTGAAATGTGTCGCCCAATTGCGGTTGAGGTTGCGCGCCCGCGGGCGGGTTGAAATGTGTCGCCCAGTTGCAATTGCGGTTGCGCGCCCGCGGGCGGGTTGAAATGTGTAGCCCCGTTGCAATTGCGGTTGCGCGCCCGCGGGCGGGTCGAAATGTGTCGCCCAGTTGCGGTTGCGCGCCCGCGGGCGGGTTGAAATGTGTCGCCCGGTTGCGGCTGCGGTTGCGCGCCAGCGGGCGGGTCGAAATGCGGGCGGAAATGTGTCGCGTTGCGGTTGCGCGCCCGCGGGCGGGTCAAAATGCGTCGCCCAGTTGCATTGCGGTTGCGCGCCCGCGGGCGGGTTGAAATGTGTCGCCCAGGTGCGGTTGCGATTGCGCGCCCGCGGGCAGGTCGAAATGCGTCGCACAATAGCGATTGCGGTTGCGCGCCCGCGGGCGGGTCGAAATGCCTCGCCCAGTTGCGGTTGCGGTTGCGCGCCCGCGGGCGGTTTGAAACGTGTCGCCCAGTTGCGGTTGCGCGCCCGCGGGCGGGTCAAAATGCCTCGCCCAGTTGCAGTTGCGGTTGCGCGCCCGCGGGCGGGTTGAAATGTGTCGCCCAGTTGCGGCTGCGGTTGCGCGCCCGCGGGCGGGTTGAAATGTGTAGCCCAGTTGCAGTTGCTGTTGCGCGCCCGCGGGCGGGTCGAAATGTGTCGCCCGGTTGCGGCTGCGGTTGCGCGCCGGCGGGCGGTTTGAAATGAGTCGCCCAGTTGCAATTGTGGTTGCGCGCCCGCGGGCGGGTCGAAATGTGTCGCCCAATTGCGGTTGCGCGCCCGCGGGCGGGTTGAAATGTGCAGCCCAGGTGCGGTTGCGCGCAAGCGGGCGGGTCGAAGTGTGTCGCCCAGGTGCGGTTGCGGCTGCGCGCCCGCGGACGCGGGTCGAAATGTGTCGCCCAGTTGCGGTTGCGCGCCCGCGGGCGGTGTGAAATGTGTTGTTCAAGGTGCCCTCCTGACGTTCAGTCAGTCAATCAGTCAATCAATCAGTCAATCAGTCAGTCACCGGCGGGCACGGAATTTCACCCGGCTCCGCCGGGAATAAAACCCTTTGTGTTTGTGTGTTTCTTCCTGTTCTGAGTCTTGAGTTGTTCACTGCATGGTCCCCTGAAGGGCCTACCCTTTCCTCCCAAGGCTGGCTTTCCATTCATCGTGACTCGATGTTCGACGGTCCCAAGGCCAAGCGAGGGCCGCCAAAGGCCGAAAATGAGCAAAGCCTTCCGTCGTGATCTCTTCACGGCGAGAGGATGCCAGGGTCATCGCAGCGTCTCAACTGCGTGCCGATGCTGCTTCCTCGAGTCTCCTTGATCCCGTTGAGTTCAATCGGGATTTCATAACAAAAGGGAGGGGGTCACAACCCTCCCAGAAGGGCAATTTTAGACCCCCG